AGGCTGCAGTCCTTGACCCTCTGCAGAAAGCATTTCAGGTCCTCCTCAGTTTCAGCAAGCAGGGTTGTGTCATCTGCATAATGCAGATTGTTAATAGATCTTCTACCAATCCTGATGCCACACTTCTCCTCATAGAGCCCCGACTCCCGGATAATCTGTTCTGCGCGTACAGGTTGAAAAGGTACAGAGATAGAACACATCCCTGGTGTACACCCTTCCCAATTTTTAACCACGCCTGATCAGTACAGAAAATACCTTCAATCTGTTCCCATTGTAAAAGTTTATTTTCATTATTAAGAGAAAACGGGGAAATTTTTAAAAATCCTAAACCTGCCACTCAGAGGGAGCTATGACCAGTAACGTTTCAGAGTCTGCCTCTTAGCTCATTGTTTTCAAAGCATTTATGACAGAAGTAACATCATCATTTTATAGATAGAATTTTTAAGACCTCAGAATTGTAATTTCATTCCATAGTCTAATGAGCAACAAAAACAATAGCTAGAAACAATATATTAAACATTTTGCTGTTTCTGTATATTTAGGTTACTGTCAATCAGTCTTTTCCATGTTGCAATAATATTACATTAGACATTGTTACTAGATGTTGTTTTTCAAAATGGGGGTTGAGGAAGTGATTTTTAGACTGCTCCTACGGTACTGCCCCCCACCCCAATCCTGCCTTAATTTGCTGTGTTCCCTCACCCCACTGCTGATGAAATGTATAGCCCTGGCTTCTTGTTTGAAGCATATCCCTTAAGAGGTGACCCCCTAGCATCTCCAATTAGTATTTGAAGTGATGCCTTAGGCCACTGCCTGGCACAGTGGTGCCCTTGCCTTCCCTCCTGTCGTCTAAGCATGGAGCTCAGCTGCCAAGCTGCCTATGCCTCCTCCTGTCCTCAGAGCTGCCTCCGGAGTCCCAGCAGAGAACCAGCAGAACCCCTTTTGTTAACAGAGGTAATTTGCCTGGGTTCAGCATTAATAAGGAATGCCATAAGCAGTTGGGGTCAGAAAGAACAGATCTGTCAAGCCCCAGGGTTAATTTAATAGCAATCTGTTGGTTGTCTGCATTGGATATGAGCTGTGGATCAAATGCAATGTTTTGATTTCACCATTTAGTTCTTTGAGACAACAGAGAAATAATTGGGATAGAGAGCTCTAAAGGACAGGGAAGAGAAAATTGTCTGTCAAAATGTATCATTCTGTTTTCAAGATAATGCACGGAGCCATGCATTGCTCATCTCCTTTCTCCTTCCACCCAATGTGAAGGGCAAAGCCTCAGCTGCTGTTGGCCTCTGGTCCCTGTAGAACAGCAGGAGGGGAAAAGCCTGGGTTCCTATGTGATGTAAATGTGAAATACCCTCCCACATCACCATCTTAAGACATTGTGTTTGCATCTAGATGCATCTCCTGAGTATTTTTTTAAACTCACAAACCTTCCATTCAATAACACTCTAAGAAGCACCTTGCCAGATCTCTCTCTGTACCAACATGTGGGTAAAAATAAATAGATAGATAGATAGATAGATAGATAGATAGATAGATAGATAGATAGATGATAGATAGATAGATAGATAGATAGATAGATAATTCTCTCATAAAACACAAACACCCTGCGTTGAATGCCATGTCCAAAATTCTGGTTTCAAAAACTGTAATGGCCAAAATGATCACTCACTCATTGTCATTGAGCCAGAACCAACTTGTAGCTGACCTGCCAGTGAGTTTTCAGTGGTAGTAAATAGCACAGGAAATTGTCCATCATTCTCCTGTAGAGCAATTAGTAGATTCGAACTGTCCTCCTTTAGGTGAATGAGAAAAAACAACAACAAGAAAAAAAAAAACCAACCAGTAACCCAAAGCAGAGGAGTTGAAGCTGTCCTCCCTGATACAAAGAAGTGGTGGAGACCCTGGGTGGTGCA